GTCGATCAATCAAACAACACGAACAGGGCAATCGACTGCCTTCAACAACTTTGCACAATACAGAGAATCTATATGAATTATTTACTCGACGACTAATCTAATTGACGAACCTGTATATCACAAGACGTGTTCGACATATACACAGAAGAACAAGCGACCAAATAAAAGGTCTTTACAAAGACGGAAGAAATTGAAAGGAAAATATCAGAAATACCAAACAAATCACAACAAAACATGCTGATAGCCTCAATCAGTATTCAAATAAAACAGAAAAGAAAACGAAAAACTTACTAAATGCTTAACTAAGAACGGGCCAGGTCTGAACCAGTTTTGACCATTTGAGGCCGAACAAACTTTAATCGGGGTGTTCTCAACCGAGAACACCTTGATTAAAGTCTATTAGACCCCAAACCCTCTATGAAACAGGTCGGATTCCCCAGGTTCTTGTGTTCTAGGGTTTGAATCTTTAGATTTGGGATTTGAGGATTTGTGGGTAGATTCGGACCAAACCAGGCTTGGTTTGGCCACGAGGGAGGTCAGGGTGGTGGCTGGTATGAATCCGGGGTGGGTTGGTGTAGATCGGGGTTCTGCTCGAACCTTCAAATGAAGATTCGAGACGTTCGGGGAAGATTCGAGGTAATCTGAGTGCGGATTTGGAGAGGGGGGGTCATGGTGGTTCAATGGTGTTAGCTTTAGGGCCAACAACACCGTAGCCGCCGGCTTTCGGGCGAAGAGGTGGGGTGGCGGCTAGGGTTTCCATGGGAACCTGCCTCTGAGCTTCAGAAGACGGAGAGGGGTCTGGCTATGGGGGGCTGGGGTGAAGGATTGAAACTTTTATACGGGGGAGGGGATTGATCCTGGGCCGTTCGATCTGATGAGATCAATGGCCAAGATCCCCTGGCTGATGCAGAATGGCGTCGTTCCACTTAAGAGGGGATCGGGTTGGTCCGGGATCAACAGATCAACACCGGGTTTCATTGGGTCGGGTCATGAGGGAAGCCAGGGACCGTTGGATCAATGTAGATGAACGGCTCAGATCGACTTCGCCTACAACGACGTCGTTTCGATTTAGCAAGGGCTGCATTGAACCGTTTGATTGCAATGAATCAACGGCTGAAGATTGAGGTGCTGATACGACGTCGTTTGGGACGTTCCCTGGGCAGCCTGTGTTTGGACTGGATCTGTGTCCTGGTTTTGGGCCTCATTTTGGGGCCCAAGCCGATTTTCCACAATCATTTTCTTTTTAAATTAACAAATTAAACTAAAATCCCTAAAAATTGTAAAAATTAAAAATAAACTTACACACATATTGGTTAACACCTATAACAATTAACACACAATTTTAATATTAAACAAAAATCACTCAATGACAAAACATATATTTTTTGATTTTTTTTTTCTTTTGGAGTAACTTTCGTGAAGCAAAAATCACGTGCTTACAATAAGCTTTGACCGAAGTCTTTATTTTTGGTTAAACAGTTACGATCATCCCGCTGGTAATGTGTGGCCTCCCAGGTGGGCGCTGTCGGTACAAGCTGCAGCCTGCCAAACTGGCGAAGTACCCGCTCGGTGACATGATACTCCACAATATCAAGGCAGTTTTAACGGGACGAAAGAGGCCCACATATCACGGTCGACCGAGCAACAATCGGGCAAGCCAACTATCAGCACGTCGGTGTATGGAGTATATGCAACTTCTGTTTGAAGCAATGACAAGTAAACTTAGATATACATTTACCTGTGCGCCATCCAACAAATCCAATATATCCTTGCACAAGGAGAGATTATGCCGAGCCTCGTACTCGCGCGTATGTCCTCGCTGGCATACCCACCTCCTAGCTAGAATGAGCAACTCCGGATCAAATGGTGGTAGAGGTGACTGCAACTGCAAGAACCGCTCCCAGGCCCAAACCTAACATAAAAAGTTAGCATAAAAGTTAAGATATATTTTTACAAGATATGTTAAAATGAATAGAGTATTCAAATATGTTATCACCTGTAGTAGCGACAATAATCCAGCAGCCTCACGCTGGGTGCCCATGCTCGCCCGGCACATGCATCTGTACAAGTAGGTGAGAACAGCGAAGCCCTAGCTGTACTGGGGTAAATCATCTAGCCGCTCAAGATGATGAAGAAATCTTAGGCTGACTAGGTTCCCCGAAGTGTTCGGGAACAAGACCCCTCCAAACAACAGGAGTAGCAACAACCTCGTATACCAGTCAACATGATCATCCAGTGTAGTGCCATCGATCTGAGGATGCAATGCCTCCAACCACAGTCGAATAGTCGTCAACGAAAAATGACTGGTCCCATGCAGTACAGTCTCATCCTCTGGACAGAAATCGGTAAACCGTTGCAGCATATCCAGGTACTACACACGTGTCATCTCTATCATGCCATCCGGCAGATAAACGGGCAGTCCATCTACGAGCAGCCCATATAACACCTCCACGTCCTGCTGTGTGATGGTGGCCTCGCCAATGGGCAGGTGGAATGTGTGCGTCTCCCGTCGCTACCGCTCTATCAGGGTTGTGATCAAAGACCAATCGAGCTACAACCGCCCTATCTCAATCATCCTGTAGAAACCCGTGTCCCACAGGCGCGCGACTACATGGTCATGGAGAACTTTGTCATACAGAAAGTCCCATATGTCGTCCACTCTCCTGGCGCGAAAAGTATGGGTCAGTAACTCACCCTCCCATAGTGGGCGAACCTATGATCGCCCTGTAACGAGAGTAGCGCATCGCTGTAGGATCCAGGATGAATATGCGACATCAATGTCTTCTACTGTAAATTAAACAACATCAATTACATGTTAGTTTTATAATTTTAAACATTTGTTTGTAAATTAAATAATTAAGTTTTATAATTATATAATATTTAATTATGATGTATTCACATAAGGGTTCTAGGCTAGATATTTGAGGCTCAGTAGCACCAAGATATCCTAAATTCTTCCATGTGTTAGTTTTATTATAATTTTATATGTTAGTTTGTAAATTAAATAATTAATATTTATAATTAAATATTCACACATGGGTTCCATGCTAGATATTTGAGGCCCAGTAGCACCAAGATATCCTAAATTCTTCCATGTGTTAGTTTTATTATAATTTTATATGTTAGTTTGTAAATTAAATAATTAATATTTATAATTAAATATTCACACATGGGTTCCATGCTAGATATTTGAGGCCCAGTAGCACCAAGATATCCTAAATTCTTCCATGTTTTAGTTTTATTATAATTTTATATGGTGGTTTGTTACCTAGTAATTAATTTTTTTAATTAAATATTCACATATGGGTTCCAGGCTCGATATTTGGAGTCCAATAGCACCAATTTATTCTATGTGTTAGTTTTATTATTTTACATGTTAGTTTGTAAATTAAATATTTATTTTTTATAATTAAATGTTCACATATGGGTTCCAGGCTTCCATATTTGGAGCCCAGTATCACTATGTGTTAGTTTTATTATTTTACATGTTAGTTTGTAAATTAAATATTTATTTTTTATAATTAAATGTTCACATATGGGTTCCAGGCTTCCATATTTGGAGCCCAGTATCACTATGTGTTAGTTTTATTATTTTACATGTTAGTTTGTAAATTAAATATTTATTTTTTATAATTAAATGTTCACATATGGGTTCCAGGCTTCCATATTTGGAGCCCAGTATCACTATGTGTTAGTTTTATTATTTTACATGTTAGTTTGTAAATTAAATATTTATTTTTTATAATTAAATGTTCACATATGGGTTCCAGGCTTCCATATTTGGAGCCCAGTATCACTATGTGTTAGTTTTATTATTTTACATGTTAGTTTGTAAATAAAATATTTAATTTTTATAATTAAATATTCACAAATGGGTTTCAAGCTCCATATTTGGAACCCAGTAGCATCAATTTATCCTCAATTCTTCTATGTGTTAGTTTTATAATTTTATATGTGTTTGTTTGTAAATTAAATAATTAATTTTTACAATTATATAATATTTAATTATTAAAGATTCATATATGGCTTCTCGTCTCGATATTTGCGGCCCAGTAGCACCAAATATATGTTGACTATAATTGGACAAAGTTTGTGTTTGATCTATCAGTTATTTGATGTATTTTTAGTATAAAAGATACTTAAACTACAGGGAAACTACGTTAAAAGGCACTACATTTTACTACGCTAAAAGACACTACATTATACTACCCTAAAAGACACTATATTTTACTACGCTAAAAAACATTACATTTTACTACCCTAAAAGACACTATATTACTAGTCTTTAAGCAAAAAAATAATTTAAACCACATAAGACACAACAAATACATTGTAATCACAAAAATACATATAAAACAGTAATATTTATTTATTAACATTTTTATTAACAAATAATAACATTTCACAATTATATTAGATTTTTTTACAACATTAATATCTTAGTCTGGATAAAAATAATATACCAATTTAATCGCAAAAAAAATAAATACAAAACAACATACAACACATTCAAAACAACAAATATGCATTATTTATTCGAGTTTGGACATAAGCTAAATCGGAATACCTCGATTTATGTTTTTCGGAAAGTTGAAGATTTGAAAGCTTGACTCCGAAACAAGCAACCCACAACAATAGAAGGCTTGGCTAGGATGTGAGACCAACAATATCTACTTTTTAGGGGACGAGTGAGGTCCACACGAGCTTTTTTTATTGTTAATGGGGGACCTTTTTTTAAAAAAACGGAAAAAAAAGACTGGGCAGACCGTGGGGAAAGGGAAGGGATTCTGATATTTATATATATAAAACGCGGTTCATTACCATGCTTTATATAAAACACTGTAATGGACCGTGTTTTATATAATTGTCTTTTCAGTTTTATATAAATTGCGGTTTGTTACCGTATTCCATGTAAAATGCGATACTTAGTACCTTAAAATAACCACGTTTTACATAGATATGTAATTTTGTTTTTTGTTTACACTTAAAAATACAAAAGAAGAGCATTTTGGTTCCGCACTCGTATTTAGCTCACATCCAAATTTCACAAAATGTCCTCCCCCTACATCCATCCACTGGTCCATGGCCTGCGCTAGTAGCGAACCTCATCGCTTCATCTAATCCCCTTCCTTCAATGTCCCTTCTCTCCATTTTGTCGAATTCTTCATCGTATTAAGGGGAACAAACATAGAGTCTTCGGCTGCCAACAACATGCGTTCGGATTCCGGGTCGGGTTTTCCCTCAACGGTGAAAATATCTGGCCTCAACTCCACCGGAAAGAGTGGGCCAGCGTTCGTTGGTCAGGTTTTCAGTATGTGTGACCTTTCCGGGACCGGTCTTATGGCTGTTTCTACCCACTTTGACATACCCTTTCTCTCCAAAAGGTATAATCTTTATATTCTCTTTCCCTATTTTCAATTGAGCTCCCCCACTACTTAGCATGTCAGATTGTGTTTTAGCTATTAGAATCGATATGGATACAGACAAATTGTTGTTTTTTACTTCTGTTGACTCATTTGCTGCTATTGCACTCTTTTGGCACAAGTAGCAACTGAGAAAATTTTGGTATTAGGTGGCGTGGTTAAATCGTGGGAGTACTAAATACTTGATGAATCATGGTACATGTTTAACTTTGGACAGCTTTAGTGTTGTACTCCAGGATGGCCAAATAGGAAGTAGCTAAATACTGTTTTTAAAGTAAAATTGTGTACTGCAAACAGCATAAGTGTGATATCATGAATGCTAGCAATCAGAAAGGACACGGGAAAGAAAATGAAGAAGATCAGAAGATGTTCTTGTTACTAAAAGCTCTGAAACATGAATAAAGCTTTAGAAGCTGTAGTATGAGCGTATATCCGTTGTGTCAATAATCAGCTTATTCAGAAGAAGTCACTTGGTTGAGTTTTGAATTCGTCAGAGGTCTGTAAGATTGCATAAATAAGTCTAGATTTTTTAAAGACCTTTTATTATTGAGGAAATGACTGAATAATAGGGGCATTGCTAGTCAGTAAAGCAGCTAAGACTTCTAAACGATTAGGAAAACTAGTGGAGTTATACTTTTAACTTAGCACGAAGTCTACTTTGCTTTCCCGATTAAACTTTGAATTACTCATAGCATAATCGAGTGTAGAGGCTTGAAAATAGAATCTCTCATATCACGTAAAGGCAACAAAACTATTGCATTTCATAGAGGTCGCCAAGATTACGGGTAAGAACCGATAAGGCTGAAAAGCCATTGTTGCTTGTCTGTGCCTCTCCTCTGACAGTCTGACTAGCTTTTCTCCGAATAAGTTCCTCGTACCAGTTTATCGTTGGTCATCAAGAGAGGAAGAATGTTTACCCTCTCAATTTAAAACATGTTTAGTGGAAAAAATATCAATGAAATACACACCAGTGAAATATTTTAGGAAAACTTTCACCAGGAAGTACAAAGTTACATGTTAAATAGTTTTATTTTGTGTGCAAATTCATGTTAAACAGCCTTATAAAAAAAGTTAAATAGCTGTCTCTTTCACTTTTGCAAGCATCTTGCATAAAACTAGGAGTCTAATGATTGATAGAGTCTTTAGTATTATGGACAGATGCTTCGTGGATAATCCTGTATGGCAATTCCCCTTTGATATGCAGCTGTGCGTTAGAAAGCATTATTGTTTTTCTCTCCAATATGCTGTTTCCATGAAAGATAAATATAAATGATGAAGCAAGATGTGTCTTATCTTTGTTTTTGATCTTTCATTTTTGGGTTGAGATAAACTACTTTTGCTCATTTTGGTCCTAAGACCTGAGTGTGCATCTGGAAAACATATCTTATTTGGTATGTCTGAAGTTTTAGTGGAATTGGTTGTCATTGGCAAACAAATGCCTTAGCTGGTCAGTATATTGATAACATTTACTTACACGAAGTGTTCTGATCTTTTGAATTACTATCTTATCTTCATTGTATCTTTTCATACTAGTGAATAGTTCCAAAAGTTTGTATTTTGAATATTTTGTGTCATTCATAAGATTAATTTTGTGATATCCAGGACACCTGAATGGCTAAAGAAAATGTTTGCAGCAGTTACTAAGAGCGAAAGGAATGGTCCTGTATTTCGATTCTTCATGGATCTCGGTGATGCAGGTCTTATTTGAACCACTTAGATTTTCTGTTTATCATGTGATGTCTCCACTCTCCCAGGAAATGGATAGAGACCCATTAATATGTTTTAAAGTACTAAGAGATTTATTACTATTATAGTCATTGGCTCTTTGAATTTTAGGACCTCAGCTTGCATCCTCCCTCTCACTTCTTTTCTTTTGTTTTTGTTGGTTAGACTGTTGAGAAATATGACAATCCACTAATGATTCATGTTCACATGGAAAATATCATTTTAAACCTTGGTTCTTGTGGAACTCTTTCTTTTGTTTATCTCAAACAAAAACAAAGACAAAATAAGAAAATTATCTGAATGAGTTCATGTAAGTGGAGTGCTTTTGTTTGTTTCTCCCTCAAACTGAATAACTCCTTGATGGGGAAGTTCCTCATATCTTGTTTGATAGTTGTTTTATAAATCTCTCACATGCTGGATTTTTTGTTTTTCCAGTTTCTTATGTAAAAAAGCTGAATATTCCTAGTGGAGTGGTGGGCGCATGCCGTCTTGATTTAGCATATGAGCATTTTAAGGTACTTTCTTGGTGGAAATTATGAATATTATGCATTTTCTCTTGTTTTGAAGTTGAACTAGATAACTTTACAGAGTTTTACTGCCTGTTTTTATTGAAAGGTGCACAGACTAGCTAAGTGGATAGTTGGTGCTTACTTGACTACCCTATTCTAATAGGATATTTTTTCAACTTTTTATGTTTCTGATCATATCTCAATCAGTATCTAAAGATGAGATAATTATACAGCATAGTCTAGCAGATGCCCTCTCTACTCCATCGAGGTAGGGGTAAGGTCTGCGCATACACTACCCTCCCTAGATCCCTCACCTGTGGGATTTTACTGGATTGTTGTTGTTGTAGTCTAGCAAATGTCAAACCACAAAGAAAGCAAATATTTATCATCAAAACTGCATTTAAATGAAAATAAAGATAAAAAACAAAGAGAAAGAAGTTTTGGTTTTGTAGGGGGTGGGGGATTATATGTAGGAATTAAGGAAGATAGACTCTTTATGACGAGTTCATATTTAGGAAAGATAGGTTGAGCCAACAACGAGAACTTGTAGAGGAATCAAACTGATCTTGAACATGGAGCTGGAGAGAAGCATCACAATTTGTTTGGGAAATCTGAGATTAGGATCACATTGGATCTAGTCCTGCTTTATGGCCTAGCTTGAGAATGATGTAGATTGAGTTAACCTACTTTGCATATAGGGTTTGATTTCCCACCTTGTAATCCCCTCCCGGTTTCCCCTTCCCCTACCCTCCTCTATATAGTATTTTTTTAAAAAAATTACTTTGCATTTAATCAAACTAATTGAATTTCGGATTTACTCATCTCTTACTTGAAAAATTCATTGTTCTGGATTTTTTTTTTCCGAACTTGCATGACTACATATTTTATAGAGCTTATAGTATTGAACACAGTTTAGTGATAAATGTGTAGGTATTTATAGATATTCTTATATTCTTTTTGATAAAATAATTAATTTTATTTAGTTGAATGGGCAAAGAGAAACCCGCATATGAGAAGTATGCTAAAAGTAGAAAAACCTACACAATGATATGTTTTTCTACAAACGACACTCAAATTTTTATACATAAAGGAACTTCATGGGTGCACCAAAAAGAAACAAGAATAAGAGGCTACTCCTCAATTGTACCAAATTCAACTCTACCGCATGATGCCCGTCAAAAGCTCTCAAGTTCTTTCTCTCCAAACGACCCACAGAAGTTATATATAAGTTTTATATATATTTTTTGGTTTAACTTAAATATGTTTTTTTCCCTCTATCATTGAATTATAACTTAAACTATTAAAAAGGGAACAATTTATTTTTATATTATAGGTCTGCAAGACGTCCCTCATGTGTGAATCTTTCTCTGGCCAAGCACGAAGAAATATTTTATTGATATGTGATAATAAAAAATCAGATGCTGGATTTCTGCCTGCTCTAGTACCAGCTATGCGAATACTCATCTAAAAGCTTAAGTGGTTAATGATGAGGCATTTGAATTTATTTCTTATAGGTCAAAACATTTATGCTAAGCTATAAGATATCAACGATGTCCAATTCCAAAATGATACCCAACTATGTATGAAGGAACAATATTTTTAGGAACAAAATATACATATAGGATTAGGAAACAGGACCAACCCCATCTCCTACAGTGTCCAGATTAGTAAGGTTCTAATCAGGGCACTGTAGTTTGTGGGTTGTGTAGCAACTAGAAAGAGAGATGTGAACTTGCAAGTTCTGATTGTTTAAGACAGTTTTGAGGAAAATGATACCTGTTAGAGTTTAAGGATTCCCTTCCACCTGAAAACTATTGATAGTACATTTGCCGTGTTCTGGGATTCTGTTGCCCCTTCTTATTGGAAACTTCATGATGTTTTCATCTTCCAGGAATTTTTTTAACACCATATTAATTTTCTGTCAGGAAAAACCACACTTGTTCCAATTTGTTCCGAATGAGAAACAGGTTTGATCCTGTTTTGAGATCTTGATTTAATTCTGGAAAGCAGCTGTTAAAGTTATTTATTTATCATCTTAAAATCTCTACAAATATTTGGTGCACATTCAGGTCAAGGAAGCCAACAAGCTGCTTAAGGCTATGCCACAGTCTGATGGAAGGAAAAAGGTGGACGGTGTTCCTGTTTTCAGTGCTCAAAACTTAGATATTGCTATAGCAACTACAGATGGTATAAAATGGTATATTTATCTGCTTTATGCATGGTTGTTTGTTTTCTGATCAGTGAAGTGGCTCAAAAATCCCCATCTTTGCTTTGTGAAAACTTCAATATAACACTCTTTTTGGCCCAATTGAATATTTAATTTGATGTGTGGTTATTAAAATACATGGAGTGTATGGGTAGGTTTCAGCTTCTTCGGTATAATCTTACTAATAGTTCGTATAGGAGCTATAGCCGTTTCATTCCTATTCGTTGTTATGATATTCTGTATTGGACTGATCTTTTTGAATGTGTGAATTATCAATATTCTCTTATGGAAGATGTGGAGTCATATGACGACCTTTTGACTTTTGAAGAAAAATGAACAGATTAAAGGTGGATTCTACATGTTACTCTTTATTGTGCAAAACTTTTTCTAAAGCTTTCCTTTAGGGATGATGGAGTTTATTTTGGGAGAACCTAAGAATGAGAGGTAATTTATTAATATGTGATAGATGAAATTGTCATTGAATGGAAACCTAAATATTGGCCAGCTTTATGGTGATACACAATCTCTGCATGGTGTTCACTTTTTAGAATTAATTCTCATTTTCAGGAGTCTTACTTCTGCAGCATCACAAGTTGCTTTGATTGAATGTTCCTCATGAAAGAAACCATTTAATATGATTATATTCAGCAAACATTTGCATCACCTCTCTTGTTTCCTAAAGGAAAGGAGAAAAAGAGAAGGATTCTAATTTATTAGGGGAGCTATTTATAACTAAGAACTCAATCTCTTCGTCCGTAATTTGTACATTATAAAATTCCTGTATACGTCTTTAAATGTGCTCATTTTTTAGGTGCTTTTCTTGGCCCTTCTGTAAAGAAGGCCAGATATGAAAGACAAAAGTCCGCGTAATGTCAAACAGGGATCTGAATGTGTAGCCTTCTGACTTCTGTGATCCAGCAGTAATGAATGCTGAGAATCAGAGGATCATGATTTATAGCCCAGATTAACATTGAGCAAATAACTTAATCGTGACTATATCCTCATAAGAATATAGGAAATATCTGATCTCTTATCAAAGGAATTGACCAATGCGGAAGCTTGTAGAGTTACAAGACATTCAATTTAATATTAAGTATAATGATAATGATGTTCCATAAACTAACTCGATGTAGATAAGGTTTGCTGTAACCACATTTTATCTAGTCGTTAGTAAACAATAACGGGCAGAATATCAAGTCAACACACTTTCAAGAATGAGGTGATTGACTGATGTGTAAAAACCCTCGGATAAACCATCTTCTTTTCTTATCAATAAATAAACCATCTGCTTCATCACTTATTTCTGTAGGTTGTCAGACTAACTGAAATGTGGATGAAACAGTTGTAATATAAGCAGTCTTGAAGTAAATGGCAAAGCTTGTGAATGGAATTTAGACTATTCAGTCCTCCCCTTTTTTTTTATAAATATATTTTAACTTCTATGGCGGACTCTCCAGTTCACCTTTTGTCCGTACCGCCTTATCAACTGACTATTCTGAAAATCTATTTGTGGCTGCTTCAGTCTTTACTTCTGTCTTTTCTCCCTGTTATCTTATATGTATTTGTTCGTCTTCTTATCAGGTATACTCCTTACTTCTTTGACAAAAACATGTTAGATAACATTCTTGAAGAATCTGTTGACCAACATTTCCATTCGCTGATTCAAACACGACACGTCCAACGCCGAAGGGATGTTTTTGATGATAATTTGGCTTCCGAAGTAATTGAAGAGATGGGAGATAGTATGTGGGAGCCTCCTGAGGTACTAAACTGGTCAGGCTCGAAAGTATGTGTTCGGGGCAAAAGAGATAGTGATGAATAAAACTTAAGAAATGAGGATCGTGATATATTTTCTAAGGTGGTTTTCCTTTGGGTTGGGGGTGGAGAGAGATGGACAATAGAATGAGTTGAATTTCGTTTACATGGATATGAGGGTAGGGAAAGCTGTCAACCACCATTGTGGTCATTTTATGAGTGGCTATAGCCCATGATCAAAGTACACCAGCAATTTTGGTTCCTTCTCTTTTCCTGCTTTTTATTCTTTTATTGGTTTTAGCAATTCGTTTGTTTAGTTGTGCTGTGGATAATGCAAAATATCACTAACCCATTGGTAAATGATTGACAGGTTCAGGATGTGCTCGATGAAGTGGGTCAACCAGCGATACCTTTGAGTGTAATATCAAAAGCTGCTGAAATTCATCTTCTACATGCTGTCGATAAAGTTCTTCTAGGGAATAGGTGGTTACGAAAAGCAACAGGAATTCAACCTAAGTTTCCTTACATGGTTGACTCATTTGAAAAGAGGTAAGTTATCCATTTTCAAGAGTTTCTTTGGAGGGAGAAGTGTTCTTTTCACATGGTTCATAGCTTAAAATCTTTCAACACTGATGATATTCATCTATTTTATGTCACATTGTCAGCGGCTAGATCTTGGTATCTCAGAATTCTCCAAGCTGTAAGCAAAGATTTGGATGGTAAAAACATTTGATGCAATATCTCAATCGCAACATTTTCTCTGATATTGCAGGAGCGCAGCTTCTTTCCAGAGAGCATGCAGGATTTCCAGTTTTGTTAATAAATCTCAGTTGGAGGCTAATGATAACCAACTACAGTGCATCAGCAGTTCAGCAGTGGAGGAAGCAGATAATGTCTCTAATAAAAAACAACTAGGGCTGGATCTGCGGCTCCCTTTTGGGGGTTGGTTGAGTCCTGCATGGAGTAAAGGACAGAAGCAGCAGATAATACAAGATAAAAGGTCCCATTCAGTTTATTGGTTTTATGAAAATAACATGCCATCTTAAGATTAATAGTCCTTGTGGAAAAGAAACTGAAATTTTAATTGTTAATACTGACAGGGAATACAGAGAACTACATCCATCACCTTTGCTTCCAAAGATTACTATGGTTGGTGTCTCAATGGGTGAGGCTGGGAAGGTGAACAAAGCCACTTTGAAGAAGACAATGGAAGATTTGACGAAAGAACTGGAATGTACAGATCAGAAAAATTTGTCTGGGAATAATGTTGATGAAATAACATTTGAGGAGAGGGATCCTCTATTCGTAGCTAATGTTGGTGATTATCTTTCTAGTGCAGCAAAGGGAGGTTCAGCTCGATGGGTTCGAGGAGGAGCCCTTTAAGCAATCTCAGGCCAAGTTTTTGTTCCTCCTCAATTAGCTGCTTACATGTAATACAGGAAAACGTAACTTAGTTTGCCACTGCTTGGCTTTACAACTAGTAGCTAGTGACGTGTTAGTTGTCTCAGGTTTTAGCTGAAGGAAATGGCCTTTTTTTGCATCAATTGGTTACAATAGGTCAATAGTGGTTTAAAGGGAGGACGAAAATTATGTATGTACTCGAGATTTTGATCCCAGCATCAGTTGTAGTATATAGATTGTTGTACCAATGTATACTTTTTATTTTTCAGCAGTTAAACTGCTGAGTGTCTTAGTGTACTTCAATACTCAAAGATGTAAAGGATAGTGATACTTTGATCTGCCATACACTCTAAAACTGCGAGACATTAATCATAGTACTATGCTAGAAATGCATATCTCTGTATGCATGATGCACATGTGCCTTTTAGCTTATATTGGCACTTCTACCACGTGTGCCTTTTTCTATTATTAACTTAGTTAGGATAAGTTGAAATCAAAATGCTGGTTTTGTTAGAATATACTCTGGTTTCGTCCTTTCATTTTCCCCTGTAAAGGTTGATTGAGATTGTTTGTGGAAGTGTTCTTATCTTGTTGATGCGAGTTGCTTTTAGCTTTCTTTGCATTCATCTCTAGTGATGCCTTTAGGAGTAGGATGTAGACTGCAACAAATCCTTAAACATTTCTATTTATCACTATGTTCTCCTTTTCTCTTAGTCAAATCATGGCTTTTTTTTTTTATTTGCACCGGGTATTCGAGTCTCTTCGAGCCCCGACTATTCCCGGGGTGCACAGGCCCTCGGTGTAGCATGTTACTCCAACGTAGCTTTGACTCATTTCCAAGCTACTCATTTCCAACAGCAAAATGGATTTTGCAGTTGTCTTCTTCATTACTAAACATTTGAAGAAGTTGGGAGAGGTGACAGAGTTCTAACCCCGTAAAGTGATTTATTAGGGCAACATGCATGAATATTTACACTTCATGTCACAGAAAATCCATGATAGTCAATGAAAGCACAAAAAAGGGGGAAAAAGTGCTGTCTAGCTTTGACTTATAGTCTTAAACCAACCCCAAAAAGTAGCACCAAAGAATAATTAGAGAGCAACCCGGTACACTAGGCATCCCACGTTCAAGCAGGATGCGAGAAGGCCGCATTCCTATGGGTATAACGTAGGCAGCTATTCTGACACTAGCGTTCCAATGGGTGTAATGTAGGCAGCCTATTCTAATATTAGTGTAATACTGTTGCTCCAAAGCTCACCTTCAAATAACATCAAACAAAATAAAAGAACTTGTTAGTGAAGAGATAATTGGAAGTTGCCTTAGTGGCTTTCCTTTTGGGGGGGATATGTTTTCTAAGTGCGCCAGTTTCTCTATGTCCTCACGTTATAGTGAAGATAAGCACTGGATTAATTAGGACCTTTCACTCATATCTGGAGACGTGAGACTACGACAGACAAAATGGCTTTGAAATCGAAGATTAATTAGTTTCTTGTCCATTTGCACAATCTTTTTTCTTCTCGCCACTGAGGTATTTCTTCATTGTTACTTGCATTTCTTCTGCCAAACCCACAAAAACTCATGCACGTAGGAGGAAAAGACCTGTCTTTCCACGTAAGATACCATCTCGGTATATATATATACTTTCATAAAGTTTGATATACGTTTGCGACCATCATTCTGACGCTTGGGACCAACATTTTCCCGTCCAATTAAAATCGGTCGGAATTTGGTCGGAAATTATCAATTTCCGACCGATTTCGTTCGGAAATTGCGGACCGACTGTCTGTCAAACTTAGTATATATACTACATTATACTATATATCTATACATATATAAGTATTAAATATTATTTATTTAAACCCTCTTTATTATTTACACACATAAATATTATTAAATTTATATTTAAATTTGTATAAAAGTATTTTTTCAACCGAATTCGGTCGGAAATATTGAATTATAATTATTTTGGTTGGTTAAATAAATATATATAATTTTTGTCTTGGGCGGGAAACAAAAAATATCAAATTTTCCGACCGAATTCGGTCGGAAATTTGAAAAAAAAATTAATAAATAATTATTTTTTACATTATATAGAAGTATGACCAATTATTTGACCAATATCCGACCGAATTCGGTCAGAAATTTGGTAAATTTTTAATAAATAATTATTTTTGTACATTATATACAAGGGAGGCTGAATAGTTGACCACTCGGTAGGAAATTTGGTAAATTTTTAATAAATAATTATTTTTGTACATATGACCAAATAGTTGACTAATTTCCGACCGAATTCGATCGGAAATTTTTGTAAATTTTTAATAAATAATTATTTTTGTACATAATATGCAAGTATGACCAAATATTTGACCAATTTCGGTCGGAAATTTTATTTTTTTGCTGGCATGCAATTTTTGTTGACTTTTGCGACCAAATACTCTTATTTCCGATCGATTTCGGTTGGAAAGCCTTGGACGGAAATTACCTAATTTCTAGTAGTGATATATTACTTTTCTTATTAGTTAACTCTCATGATGTAAGTACTTTATGAATTACAGTAAGTTATGTATAGTATAAATTACAACAACAACAACAACATCAACATATCCGGTATAATTCTACAAGTGAGATCTGAAGGGTAATGTGTACACAGACCTTATCCCTATCTGAGGAGGTAGAGAGGTTGTTTCCGGTATTGTATAATTAATTAGTGTCGTTTAATTGTTCGTAGCAAGTTAATTACTTGCAATAATTTTTAGGTATTAAATCCATGCTTACTATAAACAGTTAACTGTAGTTGGCTTTTATAAAATGATAGTCTTAAACTTCTTCACTTTTTTCTTCTAAATATTATTGGACCCACTGGCCATTACCTTATGATCTATCTAATGTTTTGAACATATTACATGTGGAGATGTTTTTACCTTTGTAATTTCTTCAAATGTAACGTTTGTTGTTTGAATCTCTTTTTTCCTTTTTTGGGAAATCAGTAGAAAGATACATGAAACAGTCCAAAAATCTTTTGGTTGATGGTGACACGTGTACAACTTAATTCTTCATCAAATAATCACACATGTTGGACCCTTGTCCGGAACCAAAATGTGGTTCTTTTAAACTCAAACTACACAAATTGGTGGTAAAAAAAATTATATTTTTATATATAGCGCCATAATACCTGGCGCTATACAGTAACAGTAACGGCACCGTTAATGTATAGCGCCAGGTATTGTGGCACTATACTGTAAAATCTGACACGCCCAAGTATAACGCCACAATACCTGGCGCTATACATACATCATTAATGTATAGCGCCAGGTATAGTGGCGCTATACTTCTTTTTCCTTGCCCCACCAATAATTTCTGACTTCAATAATTCAAAAGCGTATAGTGCCAACTTTTTGGGCGCTATACCTATATATAAAAAAAAATTCCCGGCTAGCCATCTCCTATATAAAGAGGTTAGGATTGTATAGAAATTCATTCAAATTTTTTTTAACTCTTGTTGAAACGTTTATTGTTCTTAAATTCTCCAGCATTTTTTCATTATGTTTGAAGAGCGTAGAATAAGAGTTTCATTATATTGGGGGGGTGAGGTTGTGATGAAGAATAACTCTGTGGGCTACAGTTTACCTGCTCAGTGTCATGTTAAATTGCCACTTACAATAGAGTACGATAAATTGATATCGTTGTTATGCAAAAAACTGAGTGTGAAGAAATGTTCAGTGATACTTAAAGTAACCGGAAGATATCCGTATTCCGTCACTCCGCAAGGGGTTGCTTTTTACTCGGAGTTTAACATTTTGAGTAATTTTCTGAGGACTCCGGACGAATGCCGAGAATTTCTTGTAATCACAATGTTGGAGATGTANCATGTTAAATTGCCACTTACAATAGAGTACGATAAATTGATATCGTTGTTATGCAAAAAACTGAGTGTGAAGAAAT